ACTCAACAGAAGAAAACAAAAATTACTTTGGAAGGGGATTAAAACCTTAGGTATAAAGTCCTAAAGGTTTTTCTTTTATTTTAATATTGAGTCACTTAAAGTTTTTACAGTTTATGAACAGTACATTGTCTGCTCTGGATTAGGAGCCAACATTTACTATGCAGGTAACAAAAATGAAATTGGCAGCAACTGTTTCAATTTTTTTTTTTTTTTAAACCACTTCTCTAAGATGAAAATGCAAATCCTACATTATTGATTAGATCTTGAATTCCTGAAAGTATTAAGACTACAAGCAGCCACCTTTGCAAGAACTTACAAATACTCTTAAGTTATCATTCCTTTAAAGTAGCAGCGTAGCAACCTAAGATGAGTTGGTTTTGGTTTTTGTTTCAAACTAATGATGAACGTTAAAGTGTGTTATTTGGAGTGACTTGGAGTGTACATTTCTGTCGAGAAACAGCAAAAACTTCCATAAGTAATTTTGATTGGGTAATAATGCTACTTGCTAGGTCAGGTAAACTTATCCAGCCAAAGGGTCTCTATGAAGTAAATGGAGATACAAGATTTATTTTGGAAGGACTTAAACTCTCAGTAGCTATGCAAGTATGTTCAATGTAGCTCATCCATATCAAAACATAAGACACAGCCATGAGAATACACAGCCCTCCTCCCCTCCTCCCTTCCTTTCTCCCATTCTCATTTCTCCTGTTTGTGCATTTTCATCCCCTTCATGCATCGGCCTTAGTGCTTACCAAAGCTTTCAATCCCGCAACTGAAGACAGCCTAAAAGCACCCACCATTTTGGTCGGGGCAGCCATTAACCCAGCTGAAGACTACGCCAACCTGGCAACAGGGGCTGAGTACTACAAGTGACACAATGCAAGTGAAGTGACAAAAGCCCCAACAAGAAAAACAACACCATTTTCAGTACAAATAATCTGTCAAGTTATGCACTCATTCAGTGATGTTTTTTCTCTTCTCCAATCTAAACTTAACAGAGAAACTCAGCTACAAAGCAATACTATTCCTCTCATTAGCAATCGCCTTAAAGGTTTCCTTGCTCCTCCTCAAAGCACTCTCTAATCTTTCAGGTTTTACTGTTAAAAGCCTCAATATACCATTCCAAAAATGCTCTACGTAAAACAGCAGTAGTCTATTTATCCTTGCTAAACATCTGCAAACATTTCTGTACTCCTTGATGTACAAGCAGAAGGAAGTTTGCTAGAAACAGGAGAGTTCACATCAGCTGCTACATGGTGCTTTATGTCAGTAAATTGATATACAGGATAGTAGCTGTGAACCTTCAAGATTTCAGAAATCAGAGATAGACAATTGTTTTGGGAATGCCTACACTGCTTAGGCAGACTACAGACACCTTGTGAGTCAAGAGTTCAACAAAGTATTCAACACAATATTGTCAAAATTGTCTTTTGTCGGTTACAGCAATATAACACACGACAGCTTCATATGATTCAATCTGTTAGCGATGTACTCAGCCTTGAGAACAAAACAGCAGAACGCTGCTTTGCTTCCTGAGAAAACCTGAGAGCCAGAACCACTCTGTCACAGTATAATACAACCTGAAACATCTATAGTCTCATGAGGTTTTAACAGCTTAAGGGAAATACGTTCTGGTTTTGCACCCTTTTCACCAATTTGAGCTTTTGGCTGTCCCCAGAACAGCCCTCTACACTGCCAACCCTCCAAGTACAACCACTTCTTCAAACATGCTGACGAAAAAGGAGCAGGTAAATTAGTTCTGGGCAAAACACAGTGCAAGCTAAACCTTTTACTTAAAGCACTTCATGAAAATTAAGCACTTCTCTGCTATCTTCAACACATCAGATGTACCAGAGTGTAATCGTTTCATCCTTTACGCAGTGAGCACCACAGTGTGGACACTACCTGTTAAAAACAGTGTAGGTAAATAATGAAGTAGTAAGAGATTCTGCAGGCCCAAGTGTCAAGGCTACCCAAAATTAAGTTCTTCCAGAAGGAGAGGTATACCAGGACAGTCTTGCCTGAGGTTCCCTTTGCTACTGAAACTCTTGTAAGAATTTGAGAGCATTCTAATGGAATGAACTGGCATTTTAAAGTTTCTTTTTCAGAAATGCATGAATTTTATACTGCTAGGATGCTCACTACATAGTAATTATTAACTCCTACGTCTAGAGATTATTTTCAGAATATTGAAGAGAAGGTATCACACAGGATTAACTATTTTTTCTTTTTAAAAACTACTGGCTGTATTTCTCTACTACGCTACTCAGGGCCTAAACTACACTTACAATGAGCGTCCCAGGTAACATGGTCTCCTACACGATGTGTAATATCTAAGCCTAACACAGTGTAAATTAAGCAAAGGAAATAAGCTTTTTAAAATGTTTTTATTACAGAAAAACAAAAGGCTTACACTTGACTTTAAAAAGCAGCATTATTTCATGAATTCAAATTATTACAGTGAAGTTGCTTTAAGAAACTTTTAGAGACAGAAGAAAAATAAAATGCCACATCTCCCCTCAGACAGCATTCTAGATTACTTGCATGACCACAGCAAAACTCTTAATAACTTTGACACCCAGTATATGACTTGTATGCTTTTCTTCTCCCTGTGTCTTGTTGAATATAGCTGGGAGAAGGATTTGGTGAAAATGGCAGTACATTTCAAGTTTAATTTTCAACAGTTCAGTACACATCTGATTGCTATTACAGTTCAGAAGTGACTGAGACACGTTTCCCTCCTAACTAGCAGTTAAATTTATGGTTGCAACAGATCCCAGTGCATCTGTTTCTTACACAGTATTTATCATGTTCAGGTCCATATCTCGGAAGATTTTTCAGCAAGTTATTTGGCTACTACTGATTATAAACACAAACAAAAATAACCACAAAAAAGAAAAGCTCATAGTTGAAACAGTTCTTAGCAGTGCAGGAGAATTCAGAGGGGATTTTTTAATACACACCATGGAAGGAAGAGCAGTGTTCCAGTGACCACTTCCGTTTTTTATTAAGTCAAAAAGCTGGAAGTTTCCAGCCTGTGCTAAAATTAAATGTGTTACTGATCCGTACTTGAAACCTTAAGAAAAGAGACAAATCAAGAAAACATATTACTGCCTGAACAGTTCTACATTTTGACTATTAGCACTGAGTTGTGTTAAAGTCAAAAGAAATCTACAAGCTTGTCATTAAGTGATTTTTTATAACAACTCAAGAGCTCTACACCATGTTAAAAAAAAAATCTAAACACACTTTTAAGTATCTCACTCTTCAAGTACTTGCTAAAACTACAACTCAAAGATTCTGCCAAAAAGCAAAATAAAATCAAAATACAAGAAAACCCAAGTCAATATTTACAACTAGCCATAATGACAAATAATGAAAAAAAGGCAATTCATAGAAGGAAAAAGGAGGAAACAAAAAGGGAAAAAAGCCAACATATCAGACACCCACTACTCAGTGTTCTATGAACTCATTTTTTTTCTCTCCTCCCAAAAGGAAAAAGGTTGGACTCAAAAATCAGACATGGAATTTTTGTGAGGAAAAAAAAAAAAAAAAAAAAAAAAGCCTAATCTCCTTAGATACTGTTTATGCTGTTTGATAACAAAAACTTTTGAAGTCAGGCATCTATTTACTTACTCTGCACTGCAACATGAAGCCAGCTGTTACTGGGCTACTTAAACAGAAGAAACAAGTTTCTTTCCTTCAGGGAAAAAGGATGCAACACATTATCCCTGGTTCTGATTTATATCAACATCAGGTTTACTCAAACACAGAATTTGTCTATTTAAGCTTACCCGTGTTTTCTACTTAAAATTCCTTAATTTAGTGCCATAGCATAGGAATTTCTTATGTGACCGAGCTGCCTTATAAGGAGGAAGTTATAATGTGCATTATACAGTAATATAGCCTTAAAAAAAAACCAACAAAAAACCCCCCAAAACAAACCAAAACACAAACCCCCCCACAAAAAAAACCCAGCATGAATATTAAGAGGAAGAGAAATGTAAGTTTTGGTTTTGTGGTACTCTCCATGACCTCAATGCCAAAGGCTGTTTTATAGCTTACCCTTGGAGATTTTAACCCTGGACACAAATTAATCTTTTTCACAGAGTCACAGGGTGGTATTGAAACTGACGTATGATTAAAAAGGTAATAAAAATACATTATACTGACCAATCTCCATGAACATTAATGGAGAATAATATTAACTCTATCCTTCAGAGTAGGTAACAGTCTCAAAATTATCAACACCAACTACCTCAGAGATATATAACAATCTGAATTGAACACTGTAAATTCAAAAAAGCTTGTCATTAGAGAGTTATGTAAAATAGTCAGTGTTTATATTTATGCCTTCTTTTATCAAGTTGTACTGTAGATTCAGAAAACTTAAAAGATCATTTGCACTATAAGTTTATGTAAGCACTCAAAATAATTTAACAAGTAATCATTTTTTAAAAAGTTTATAATGTAGTTTTCCAATATTTTTAGCTGCTAAAACACTAATAAAGACTTAATTTAGCATAACTCCCACATCCTATATCAAGTAAACATTCTTGACTGCCAATAATTATATTATTACATGGTAAAAATCCCTAACAATTTACATTTAACTTGAAAAAACAGAAAAGCTTGAGTTTTTTGTTTGTTTTTTTTTTCCCAAAATAATGCGCAACAGGCAGAACACATGACTTCTTGGAAAACTCTAAGTTGTCTTTAGCTGACAGGCTCTGAAAGACTTTACAGATCTCTCAATCTTTCTTAGTTTACATCCTTTATTTTATATGAATGGAGTGTTTAGCTGGGCTATATTAGTAGCTGTTCATCACATACCCTAAAAGTATCATCTTTATCTCACTGTTCTGGAAATGAACAATTCAAAATTCTTAAAAAAAAAAAAAAAAAAAAAAAGGTGTAGAATTGTACCTGCAGATTCCTTCAGTTAAAATTGATCTTTGTTTATCTATTTAAGACAACTGAAAGAACATATTTTTTTTTACTGTCAATTTCTGAGAAAATTTGAATACATGCAAGCCAAAACTACCATAATGCAGACAAAAAGGTCCTCTTTCATGAAGATCATCAATAAATGACTACCTTCAATAAATAAGTCTATTTGGAAATTTTAGAGCATTCTTTTGCTAAACAAGTTAGTCTTTTTTCTTTTCCATTATGTCTTTCTGTTTAACCTCTCCATCTGAAAGTTCTGTATATTTTCCATTCTTTTCCTCCTCTTGTTCTTCCTCACTGCCTTCGTCCGTGAGCTCCCGGTCACTGTTTTCCTTTTTAGCTGCCTCATGTTCATCTACCCCTCCATCTGTGTCAGCTGTGCAGATTCCGTAACACATAATGCTGATGACCCCCAGGGGCAACCCAAAGAGAAAGCATCCCAGAAGTGGTGAACTCTTGAACACAGACTGTTGAAACAAATTTGAAGTAAAAGACACTTTCAGTGAATATACAAAATTACCGCATTACTTCTCTTATTACTCTGTATATTTATTCAGAAAAAAACGAAACAATAGAGTCAGGGTTTTTTAACTTTTTGGTGTTTATTTTGTTTGTTTGGTTGGTTGGTTTTTTCTCAGGGAGGAGGAGTCCTCATTTTAACAATTCCTAGTAAAGTTTGTAAAAAAAGACTTAGAAGGCCAAATATTACAACGTTGCATTGGGATAGTTAGTGTTAACATGCCAACTGCATATCTTATTCATTGTTTGATGCTTGAGAAAGAATTGTTCAAACAGTGTTAAAATAACACTTTGAAGCAACTGGTTTCATCTCTTATTTGTGTCTCATTCTCAAAAATTAGTTTGAGTAATACGGGATCTGCAGAAACATTCTATTAGACAGCTTCCTACTGAAGAGTAGTTTAATGGCACAGGAGGAAGGACTTTTGATTTCAGAAGCAGATGGTTAAATGTTACACATTCACAGAAGTTTTGGAAGCCATTCATACAGAAACACGTGAGTTTCAATTTAAATGCACAGCACAGGTTTTTTTGCTTGTGTAGTACAATGAGGAAATGGGATTTGTGTACATCTTCACAACAAAATTCTGTTAAGTATAATTAACCTATAAGAAAGATTACTAAAGTATATGCTTTAAAACTACACCAAGGGTAGTATTTAATCCCCTTATTCTCCATCTAATGAGGCCAAAAGCATAACATTTCTCAGAATGTGAAAGTGCTATTAATTTCAGTGAAGGGATGTTAAAAGTGTCAACAAAAAGATTTTGAATTGTCCCTGTTCTATCCCTTAAAATACATGTCGGCCTAACAAAGAAAAGGAGAGAAAAATGAAGAAACTAAGAGATGCTGAATATTTAGCACACTGGAAAATAGTATTAAAAACTTCAATGAATAACTTAATTTAGTTTAAATCTAATGTATATATACCTATAATATACACGCACCATCTTATTTCACAAAAAATAAAACTTACCACTACAGTAGACTTGGCATCATAGATTATTCTCTTGATTCGTTGCAGAAGTCCATCACCACCCTGTGCCTGAAATTTCAAATGGAACCATGTCAAAACTGCTGACACTTTTCAGTTATGATTCCCAAAGTTCATTCTTCAGACCTTGCAATCTTAAGTCCCTTTAGAAGGAAATGAAGAGTAATTATTCTTACATCTCATGATGCCCAGACACTCCAACTTCTCAAGCATGGATAAACATTTTAATAGTCTCACAAAAAATTCTCTCACAACTGTTTTAAACAATCAGGGCAAACTTTAACAGTGGACTGGCACTCCACATTCTTACCACAAAGGAACACTAACAGAAACTACCAACTGTCCTGAAATAACAATTATAAAATTGCAGAGATGATCTGAACTTTCCTGCAGCTGATGGATATCTATTTATGGATTATGACAGAAGCAGTTAGAAAAACCTAAGAGCTAAGTAGCAAGAAGATATGAAGGTGTAATAATGAAAACTTGTGTCAAGAAATGACAATCTATACCTACATTGTTACTTAATTTAGCAGTCTTCAAAATAACTACATGAATCTGAAGGCAATTTTTCTGTTGAACAGGACCAGTTTTCACTTGTCTTGAGAGAAACGAATGGGAAGAAAACCTACATTTTATAAGAAAAGTGATCAGCACTTGACCCTGACCAAAACCCCTCAAATTACTAAAAAAATCCATAAAAATGAAACAGAGTCACAGAAGGCTACCTATAGAACCTTACAGAAAATAAAAAGAAAGTCAGGGTGAATACTACAACACTTCTCAAGGAAGGGAAGGAGGAAAATGTTAGTACTTCTCAGAAATTTCACTGTGGTTCAGAAGGTCTGCATTCTATTACTTGTTTACCAGCATACTTTGAAGACTGTTATTCCTCAACAGCTGCACAATTTCTTGGGCCTGAACATAGCCAGAGTAGTGCCACTTTATGTTTATAGGCATGATTTAGCTTAAATGAAGTCGCATCCTGTATTGTCTGTCTTATATTAGCACTCTCACATACACAGAAATGCGACTTTAGACAGACCTTTAATCATTCTAGCCAAAATATTGCAAACAAAAGGTAGAAAGACCTAAGTGACACTATGGTAAAAGCCACAAGGTATCACAAATGAATTTCCTCAAAGTTAAAAACCAGACAGAAATCAATTTCATTTGTTGTTTCAACCAGGTTATATTTAAATAGAGTCAAATAGATGTTTAGAAGATAATTAAATGCAATTAACAAAGCATTAAAAAACGTGAGAATTGAAAAAAAACAAAACAAAACAAAAAACAAACAAACCACCAAATAAGTTACAGAATACCCTTCACCTCACAACTCGAACATGGCCAGTAAAGTCATCAACAGCAATCCACCTATATTATGTCACTACACCAATTTGTCAGATTAAATGAACCAAACTACCCCATATGACTGAAATGACCTACAGCATTACTTGTCATTACCACACAATGACCTAAAACTGTTGGCATAATGTAAAGTGGGATTCAGTTAACACAGTAAGGATTCAATATACAGATAATTGTGGCTTAAATCAAGATAGGCTTCTCCCAAGAGGCAGCCAAATGATTTGTTAGCACTGCCCCCTAAGTGCAAATGAAAGCTCTGAACCATGATCTATTTCCTCATCCACACAACATAGCTTTCTGTCCAACTTACAGTACACTGAGGGAATAAGCAAACCTGAGGATTTTTTTGCCAACATTAAAAACTGTCCAAGCCATCAATTCCAGCTGGATTTATTAATTTTGTTATTTTAACAAAAGACAGCTCATTTTTGAGTTTTAGAGCAGAGAGAGGTGTAAGCTTGTGTCTGTAATATGCAAAGCAAGTACACCATTGGTTTTTGAATCTGAACCTATAATTCATCAAGTTATTGGATTTACTAATTTACTACCCGAAAGAAAGAGTAGAGTCAAATTATGCACTATAAAGAAAATTTTAACCAAAAGCAAACCAGAAGATGAATAAGAAGCTGTCCATTTACCAGTGACACCAGTAAAAGGAGTATCAAGAGAAGTCAGCTAACATTATGCCATAAACAAAAAAACCCCTGGGATTTGTGCAAGAGGTTCTGCAGTCAGAACAGCGAGCAACAGTACACCTCAAGAATGCACAATCACGTATTCACTGACAGCATCCAAGACAGGAAGACAGACAGGACAAGAAGATAAAACACATGGCATAATAACCAGAGTAATCAATTTTTTTCCTTACTTTAGCATCTAAGGAAATAAACACCAACCAAATTATTCTAAGTAACTATGAAGACTTACTTCAGCTGTACCATCCAAGATATTGTTAATAAACTGAACCATGTCTTCTGTGTTCTCAATGTGCCTATCTGGTAGAAAATACTGTTGATTGGAGGTATTCAATACAACAATAGTAGGGACTGTCAGGTCACTAGAAACATAAAACAGATAGTTTAGACATTTAAATAACTACTGTGTAAAACACTGCAATTCAAATAATTTCTATATAATTAAAAAAAATATCTATTAATCTTCACTTTGTGTGTGTTCTTTATAGCAGTTCCTTAAAGGCAAGAGGGAAGGGGGAAGAGAATCACCTGAATGGTATGAGCATGTTTCTCATTAGTATTTTTTCTTTCACATCTATCAGTGATGCTATTGAAGCTTATTGCATTTTACACACCCATAGTGACTGCAAAGCAGGTAACTTATGACTAGTAAGAGACCACAGACTGTAGCCTTGTATATGAAATGTATTATTAGGACAACACATTAAGTGTTTTAGTGCACAAAGGCAAAAGTACAATCCAAAAATTCAGTCCCATACAATCATGGTCCAACTGATAAGGTCTATCAATCAACCCTACACCTATCAAGTCAAAAGAATTAGCCATACCAACCAAAGATTTTCTATATCTTTTAGATATGGCAGATGAGCTACAGAGTTTTCACACAATTACTACTCAGCATTTGATCTTGACATGCACAAGCATTGGTAGAAATTTTCTCTGGAGATAAACCAGTATAATCAAAGTAGCTCTAAATTAAAAATTAAATCAGTAGTATAATCCACTGTTCAAAGTAGCTCTAAATTAAAAATTAAATCAGGTTTAGGAAAAATTTATACTGCATAAGCACACTGTTCAATAATGAAGATTTTTAATAAATAAGTAAGGTGAAAAATCTTCTGTAAACTTTGACAATTTTCTACAGTTTAAATACTAGGAGGCTCCTTCACATTGCATTTCCTTCTGCATTGCAGAAGCAACGCAAACCTTGTTTTTCTACTTTTTCACCCTTGTATAATAGTGTCCCACTATGTACATTTGTAATCCATGTAATATTGATTATTTTAGCCTTAACTGTGGCTATCAATCCATAATCAAGTATTTTACTAAAATATTACTTAGCATTGACTCAAGATTCCCATTTCTCTTTGAAGTTGTAGAAATTATTCTAAATTATCTCACACGTTTTAGGTGTTTTGTTTGCTTGGTTTTTATTTTAAATTAAATTCCAAACCTAGAAGTGAACAAGTTTAATGCTTACACATGAAAATTTTCTAAACTCCTAGAAAGCTCAATACTTTAAGGCTTAAGGTGCAGACCATGTTCCCAGTGCTCAAGTCAAGAGCATGGTGGCACCTCAGAAAATGTAAGGCCAAGTAGAAAGATAACAAAATAAATTCATCTTTTCAAAGGAACTATAAAAACAAATAATCAACAAAACTTCGTCAACAGTGACAACCTACAACATAAGATTCTCTAAATACAATTCTTCCCTTGACATTTTTATTCTCTATTTATTAGGAACAAACAAGAAATAAAAGTAGGAGGCAACCAAACCAAGTCAAGTGTTTTTGTAAGTGCCTGGTAACAAGTTATCAATCTCTGCCAAAATACCTCATCTCAGACAAAACAGAACAGTTGAAAGCTAAACTCCATATACAAATTTTATATGCTATACAGAGATTAATAAAAATATGATTAATATGTTTCTTCCAATAGCTGAGGAATTAATATTCTACGTACACCTACAGCTGTCATTCTAATGATGCTATATACCTTAGCTTGCACAAAAATGTATCTTTCCTTTCAGTAAAATATATAATATTCGGTTTTCTTCTTTTGTGCATAGTTTTAACTACACTATTTTTAATTCAACCAAAACATGTTCATCCACTGCTGAAGAGACAGGTAAATTATAATCTCTACTAATGGAGTTACAGCCAAGTTCGTAAGTGTACTTCTAGAAGGGACTACTAATTCTATCCCCACTAATCACACAATATTTTGTCCTTTGTGAAAAAACAGAATTTGTTCCTATGTACATCTAGTGCAGTAAAAAGTGTTCTGCAACAGATTTCTCACTATTCAGGAAGCTTTTTCTACTTCCACTTGCTGTCATCTAGTGGAAAACTGAAGCACGTGCAATACAGTTTCACTCGAATTATTCAAGTACCCACATGAAGAGCAGCTACTTATATCATAGAATCAGAATGGTTTGGGTTGGAAGCGACCTTCAAAGGTCATCTAGTCCAACCCCCTGCAGTGAGCAGGGACATCTTCAACCAGATCAGGTTGCTCAGAGCCCTGTCCAACCCGACCTTGAATGTTTCCATGTTTCCATCTACCACCTCTCCGGGCAACCTGTTCCAGATTGACCACAGTCATTGTAAAAAATGTCTTCCTTATATCTAGTCTGAATCTACCCTTTCTTAATTTAAATCCATTACCCCTTGTCCTATCGCTAAAGGCCCTGCTAAAAAGTTTGTCCTGTCTTTCTTATAGGCCCCCTTTAAACAGAGAAAAGCTGCAATAAGGTCTTCCCAGAGCCTTCTCCAGGCTGAACAACTCCAACTCTCTCAGTCTTTCTTCACAGGAGAGGTGGTCTGTCCTTCTGACCACTCTTGTGTCCCTCCTCTTGATCTGCTCCAGCAGGTCCATGTCTTTCTTGTGCTGAGGACTCCAGAGCTGGATACAGTACTCCAGGTGGGGTCTCATGAGAGTGGAGTAGAGGGGCAGAACCATCTCCCTCGACCTGCTGGCCACCCTTCTCTTGATGCAGACCAAGACATGATTTGCCTTCTGGGCTGTGAGTGCACATTACTGGCTCGTGTTCAGCTTTTCATCCACCAGTACCCTCAAGTCCTTGTCTGCAGGGTTGCTCTGAATCCCTTCATCCCCCAGCCTGTATTGATACCAGGGACTGCCCCGGCATCTGAACAACTTTTGCTGCTTTCTACTTATGGTGGAAATGTATACATTATGTTTAGAAAATAATTAAAAGCCTGTGAGTACTTTAAAAGCAACTTCCAATATACTACAAATTTGTAAAATCAGGCATTTTGCAGATTAAGTTAAAAAATCCAGCTGAACAGATCTTGCCATTACTAGCACAGTTGTGTTAGTTCTGTCTGCCTCCCCTTCATTTTCCTCCTTTCATGGACCTCACCTCTCTCCTTTGCTGCTTTGCACAGCAGTTCTGGGACTTAGCGTAATACACAGGAAGATATTTAAGGGTTTTGCTGGATTAGCAAAATGACTGTCCAAAAAAAAGCAAACACTTTTCTGACAGATAAACAGGTTGAAACAGGTCAGCAGATAGTCAAACATTAGAGCCTTCACAGGAGAAGCAATAATGAAGTGAGGAAGGTCTCACTTTTGGCAGCTATAAAGCATTAGATCAATCATATCACTTAACTTCAGTTGACAGACAACTGTTTTTAAATTAATTCTATTCTAGTGTTAATCTACAGATATTCCACAGAATACAGACTGAGTCTCCATGAAGCTCCCAGAACCTTTAGGAACATAAGCACAGGCTTTGATCATGCTTTGGTACCCAAAAAAGGGGTTTGGGAAACTTACAGAGCTGGCAGATTGACCCCTGCTTCTCCCTTCTTTCAAAGGCCAGAGGAGAAACAAGTAGTCAACTGTAAATGCTGAGGAGTTCAGCTCTCTAATTATGTATTTTTTCGACAAGGATCATAAAAGCAAATGTCAAGCATCTTGTTAAAGTGCTTATGTATTTCAAAATATACCATGTCCATATCAAGTGCAGATAGCATCTTCCATGCATTTTATGCGTCTTCTCTGCAGAAGATAATTCTATGCATCAGTCTTAAAAATGTATCAAGAATGAAATATGCCTCTCCAGAAATAAAAAACACAGATAATGCATAACTATTATTTACATTTCCTGTCACAAATTGACATAACTTAATTTTTCTAGTGCTCTGCAAATTTAATGAAGGAAAAAAACCCCACAGTTCTAAGAGAGTAATTAATTTAACAAAGACTTAAAAGATAAGCTTTGTCAATCAGCATTATCAGTAAGTCAAACTTCTAACATTAAATTATGCAGTTTAATTTAACAAACAACTGATGCTGTATTATATGCTGAATTCTGAGGACACCATTTTTTTATTTTTAACCTATGAAAGGCAGGAATTCTTTGAAAGATTGTTTTCAATTAAATATACTTAGCAACAAATACAAGAGAAGAAAGAATGCAAGAATTTACTTACTCCATTAGTAAACTATTAATGTAATCATTTCCATCCATATGGCCAAACTGGAAATCCCTGTAGGAGAAGTAGTAAAAACAAGAATGATGAGAAAGAAAACAGGTTTCAGCAGAAGTTCTTCCTTAAATATTTTTCCTATAACTGAAGATGATAGCACACACTCAGCAATATAATTCAAAAACTAACAATCTATAGGACAGTCAGCATCCCAAAACACACTCAGTTAATGGACTGGTCTTATTAAACATCAGTATATGAATATAAAAGCAAGAACTATAATATTTTTCATGTAGAAAAAAATGAATGCTGTCTTAGAAAGGTTAAATGCAGAAGTTAGTCTAAGATACTGTAGTACCATGTGTGCCAACCTGTGAAAGTGATCCCGATAGTCTCTAGCAACTTCCTGAATAATAGATTTTAGTCTGGAAGAGAAAAAAAAAAAAAAGTGACACTGATAATCCAGGATATACTCTGTCAAAATACAAACAATAAACATTGAGATTTCCCCAGTAAACAGCAAATAGCACCTCATCAGCAATAAGGATTCCCTATTCCAGTAAAAAAAAAAAAAAAAAGTCTCATTTATCTTGCTTGGTTTGTAAGGGTTGCAAGGCTATCTACCACATAGTCTCAACATGAGAAAAGCATAGACAGACAGTCAAGCTGCTTCACTTCATCTGCTGCCTTCTGATGATACAGTAGTGTGGCTCTGAAGAAAGCCCAAAGAGCTCTGGGAAAACAGCATACACAGTACTTGAACAGTATTTTATTAGTCTAATTATGTATGCAATCAGAAAGGGACAGCGAAAGGTCTTGTTCCTCCCAGTCTCTTCAGCAAACTCCAACCCAGATGAAAACTTTCCTTAATGAAAGTTCCACAGACAAGAATATATAAGCACCACTAACTTAATTTTCAATGCAACTGGGCTGAAGAACAGTAATTTTTTTAAACTTATTAAGTTCATCCCAGTCATCTGAACTCAAATACTTTCATCTATGTTTAAAAGGTGACACAATAGCTTTAAAAAGCTATGCGATCACTGTTTGCTCCTGTGATCTCATTAGCACATGGCAGAAGGGGGATACAGGAACTACCATCATCTCATTGAATTCACAGGTGTTTCAACAGAGCCATAAATTAGCTAAATTCAGTAGGCTCAACTAATAAATCAGACACCTTTCACATGTTAAAACAAGTCATTTAACCCCGCATTCTGAATATTTAAGAAACTTTCAAAGTTCTCTATGTCATACCAGCATATTTCTCACATAGTGTCACCAATACTCAGTTCTGTACCTGGTATGTTCCACTGAAGAGTTTTTATCATCAATGACTGCAATAGCCACAAGTTTTCCTAAAATAAGGAATAAAATACTTGAAGCCATTTAAAAAGAAACACACATTCTCAGATAGAAAATACTCCAACATAGAAGATCAGGTACTCCCCAGGGACAGGAATTAGTTTTAAGTACGAACTTGATGCCAAATAGCCTCTTTTAGCCAACCAAACTGTGGTTTTCATAAAGCTACTGAAAATTAAGATGTGGCTTAATACCACACCACCAGCCTTCTATGAAAAGCCTATTTATAGAAAGACGTGAAAAGGAGGAAAAAACCACACATAAAAATTTATTCCCTACTTAAGCTGCATATTTGTATATACCTAAATATAAGGCTATGAAAAACCTTATAATGACAATTACAAGCTGATTCTAAGTGACTGAATCACTATGGTATGGATTCAGTATCAACTATTTTTAACACTACTGAAAATCTGGAGTATTATCCTTATGAAAAAAACGTGGAAAATTTACCAGCAGAGCTCAGAATTCATTACATGAGAAAAACAACTCAGTTTACAGACCTCTGTCAGAGGAGCTTAAAGACCAAACAGAAGATGTAGCTAAGAAGATGTAGGTACTGTGGGTAAATTCCAGGTACTGTGCATTTATACATAAATCTCTTTAAAATAAATGTTGGCTTCTCCATTGTATTAATTTTTTTTTTTTTTTTTTTTTGCAATTTGAGGAAAATTAGACAAAAATGTAACAGGAAGAAATATGCTACATTTAAACAATGTGTAACAGCACTTCCGTAAATAATCTTTTTAAATGTCCATGTTACAGTATTAGTTTCATAAACACCTAAGAACCTAGACGTTTCATAATCTTTAAAACGTGAAAGAACTCAATGTTGCATTGAATATAAACTTATTTTTTTTGAAATGTAATGTAGACTATAAAGTATCCTGGCCTGGAAAAATCAACACTTGGAGCATTTCTTCTGCTACTTCAGAGTACACATACCCGTCATTTGCCTATTCAAGAAGTCACGTGGCTGCAAAGTTTTCACCTAGCTTACAAAAACTAGAGAAAAGCTAAAGCATTCCAGGACAGGTCCACTTTGGTACATGCTCTCCTCTGTTCCTTACCATATCTACTGTTTAAAGATATCTGAATCTATTAGATGTAAGATGTATCTAAACCCATCCACTTTTGATACTTCTAAATCCAGTCATAAAATTCTCTAGTAGGTATTCCAAGATTTAATACGTAATTTATGCAAAACCTAAGCTGCTCTTAAATTAAAAGTTCTACTAATTTCTTGTGAATAGACACACTAATTTTTATGTTATAAGGAAAGAACTAGTGCAGGCTTTGGATGAAGCCTCTAGTCAAGAGAATGGATCTCACCAACTTCAAAAAAAGACTGGCACTATCAACTTTAACTCCAAGATTAAATAATTTCTGAGGTTTATAAAACCCCACATTCTTAGTGCTCTTTCATTTTTCTTAGTATTAAGTACAAGAGTTTAGTGGCAGCAGCACCTCACCTGTATCTCCAAGTTCATACAGCGTAAAGCCATCTACATTAAGATAACCTTGAAACCTTTCTCTGTTTATCCAGGATGACAAATCACCATCTTCATACTCTAAAAAAAAAAAAAAAAAAAAATATATATATATATATTTCAATTGTTGAACAAAAAGTAAGTGTATTATAGCAAAGCATGAAAGACTGATTTGATGATTATTTTTTCCCAAATCAAGGATAAACAATACTATTCTATTTGACAACTGTGACCCAATGCAGAAAGGAACAATTTCTATCCCTGTTTTTAAAGGGGGAAGGGGGAATCAACTTTCAGGCAAAATGAAGAGATTCAAATATACAGAAAGCACTATTTGTGAGAGTCCTTAAATGAAACAGAAAAAAAAAAAAGGCAGATGCATTAACAGCATTGCAAATGTAAGTGAACAAATATTTACATATTATTCAGAATCAATTATACTGGAGGATACAGTTTCAGATGCTAGAGATTTTAACCCATTAAAAAATCAAATTCTAACACATACCAGCAACACTATTATAATTAGATCTTAATCACAGGTGAAAACCAAAACTGCATATAAACATACATATGATGCGCATATATACACACATATAAATGCACATTAAATAGATGTGTTAAATATAGAGTGAATTCTCAGTAACTTCAGGTTAACAATTAATTGTCATAAGATTGCAGCAAGCAAATCCAAGCATAAAGCTTCCTATAGATCTGTATCCCATTCCTCCAATAAGGGGAAGAAAAAAACCCAAAATAAAACAGCAGACAAGGCCAGAGCATTGAAACTGACTTTGCTAAACCTTTTTCTTATAGTGAGTGCACTTTTCAAATTTATGCACAATCATAACAACTGCACATATAACCTTATCCAGTCTCCTACACTCCGTCTTCATAACTTGTTTCATTTACAGTAATGTTTCTAGTACATTATAAAAGAGTAAAATTTTTACAAAGTAAGTTAGAAGTCTGGATTATTTTGAGTTTTGTGTTTGTTTTGAAAGGTGTGGAAAAAGCAAGCAGGTCACACAGCAAAAAGCAATTCAGAAGTCTTTCACAAGCTTTCCTTTTCCAGGTTCATTGGAAAAAAAAAAAATAAAAAAAAAAATCAAATGCAAATCCAGGAGACTGTAGAGCGAATTTTGTCTGGAGGATGATTGGATGATTGTCAAGGCAACAGACCGAAGAGGAAGACAAGTACAGTCATTCCATGAAATCACAAAGAATATCCTTGATGGCCCATCTGGAGTATTTTGCTGTGATACTACTGATCCTCAAAAATTAAAACAGCAGAATAATCTTCTGAGTGGTGTGTTTTCGATTTAAATTAAAAACTTTTATTTAAACCAATCTAAATCAAGAGTATCTGTTTCTGTAAGTAAGTGGTGTACCTATAAGCCAACCCATGATACATACAGATATAAGTATGTGTGTGGGTGAGCCTCTAACAGACAGTAAAGCATGGGCTTCAGAGTATAGCCCGAGTATAATCTAGCACTTCCATATGGATATCCATACATATGGGTTATACAGTAGGTGTACTGCTGTCACTGGTGTTATGAAACACTACTAGTTTCATGTGGCCATTCTACAGTCTACACGCTGAACAAGCCATCATAGTAGCTTATTCAGCCTAAAATTATGTATCAACTACTTAGTGACAACAGTCCGCATCTCCGTAACCTCTTTTTGTGAGGGACACTTTCCAGAAGAGGAAAAACAGATTGAATGGTCAGCTGTTCTACGAATGCAAAGTACACTCTGTGAGTTATACAGGGAGAGGTTATGCTGGCTGATCCTTTCCCACTACCAATATCATAGAATAGAATCATAGAATGGTTT